TTGGAGCAGCTGTGGTTGTTGCTGCAGTTGTGGCTGTTGTTGCTGCAGTTGCTGCAGTTGTAGTTGTGTTTGGAGCAGCTGTAGTTGTTGCTGCAGTTGTAGTTGTGTTTGGAGCAGCTGTGGTTGCTGTTGGAGCAGCTGTGGTTGCTGTTGTAGCAGCTGTGGTTGCTGTTGGAGCCCCTGTGGTTGCTGTTGGATCCCCTGTGGTTGCAGTCGAGCTTGAAATCTGTGTGTTGACTGAGGCTGATTCAGAGGGTTAATGATGGATACAATTTACATTAACACCAAATTTCAAATCCATCTCCTGCACACAGAATGATTTGTGGTTATTTTCTTACACTTACCCACAAACAGAAGTAGGATGGCACAGATCTTCATCATCATTCTGGAAATGTGTTTGAATGCTTTAAAGATAAAATGACCGATTGTTGTTTGAGTTTAGTTTTTAGGGTTTCGCACTGTGATACACAAAATGATATCACATAAAATTGAATGGAATTAAGAAAATATCCAATATATTTACTTAACTGAATATTTGGGATAAATAGAATTGAATAAAAATGTTAAAAATAGCCTCGATAAACTAAACAGTTTGAGATTATCTGAATAAAAGAAAAATAATGCCATAAAAATCATGTAAAACAAAACAAATCAGTAAGGTTGGACTTGTACAGCAGAAGCAGCACATGTGAACAAACACGAGTGTAAAATGTGGTGAAACATTCAGGATGAAGTGACTTACAGTCTGCCTGGTGCTGAGCTGTCTTCCTCTCAGTGACAGAGGCCGTGCTCTTCACCGATTCAAGCTGTTTGTTTAATCAGTGAGTTCTCCAGGAAAGCCAGCTTTTGTACCCACTCAGAAATCTGCAGGACCACAGATAAGATCAGGTGCTGAACAACCAAAACAGAGTCAAACACGTTAAGCAAATTGTTTTGCATTTAGGGAAATCTGGTTTTAGTTATAACATCTACGCTGCTATAAAAATGTGTTCATTTATCTGCAGAGCTTTTCAGCTAACACTCATAATTTAATTCTCTTCAGGTAACAGTTTTATTTTATTGCTTTAATGTGAAGAGTGACTACATCTATTTTAAACAAATGTAACTAACATATAATGTAGAGTAAGCAGACACACACGCAGGTAGGGAGATGTAGAGTCGAAGAGAGGAAACCAACTGACAGGACTACTGTGGATGCAGGTGCTAACAGTTCATTTGTATACAGATATGTATCTGTTTCCTGCTTGTGTGTCTGCACGCAGTTGTGAGGAAGAGGGATGCTACATGTAAGCAAGTCACAGAAGAAGGTGCTTACCCTCTGCCTTCTCTACTGCAATGTGAACAATAAGAAAAACAAGTAAAGCACAAGATGGAAAAAAGTATGAGAGCGTCATGACCGACTGATCTGGAATATGTGATGCGTGAGACTTCAGGTGTGCAGATGTCCAGTAGAAGAAACTGTTATGTGGGAGCCCATCGCTGTTTGTAGTGTCTGTCTGAGGCATTTTGGAACAAGTGAAGGTTTTCCAGAGAGTGTGGAAAACCGCCCGGTGAATCAGTGTTAGTCAAGTTACTGGAAAAAAGTAATTAGTAACTAATTACTGATTACTTCTCCAAAAAAACTACTCCTGTTACTTTACTGATTACTTATTTTGAAAAGTAATTAGTAACTAAGTTGTGTTTTAAAAAACATGATACACAACCTGAATAAGTAATAAAGCAAAAGACCTTTTGTCAGGAAGTCGTTAAATGTCTCACTGAAAATGTTTTTTTATTTTCTCTATTGAGCTGGGTAACATTAGAAGACGAGGGACTTCAGCAGCGGAGGGGTTCTCGCTGGTCTCGCTGGCTGGCTGCTTTTGCTGTTGAACTTTTTCTTGGCCCGAACATACCTGTCCCGAAGTTGCTTCCACTTCTCGCGGCATTTGTCCGGCTCTGTCTGGAGGGCGGCTGCTATTTCTTGCCACGACTTGATGCTAACGTGCGGGTTCTTGTAATACTTGTGTCCAGGGTCATAAAGGTTGTGGTGTAACGCAATTTGTTCAGCTAACTGTTCCTCGAAACTTTCGAGCGCCTGCATTTTTGTCCACTTCCGTGAAGCTTTTCTCTTTCCCGGGTCAACTCAGCGTTTCAACCAATCAGCATTCGATCTACGTCTAGCGTCATCAACATCGATACGCGCTGTTTTTTAATTATTATTATTATTATTATTGTTGTTGTTGTTGTTATGTGATTGTGTTTTGTTTAAAGTATTTTAATTTATTAAAATAAATCACATTTTGGGTTGTCTAGACCAAAATATTAAATTTAGCTCCACAAGGGCCTGCTATCCCCTTGCGAGGACATTATACCTCTGTTTTATCAAAATTTAAAACGAATGTCCTCATATGTGGCTCTCATTTTTCTTAGAAACAAAAATGTAAAAAAAAACTGGTGATTCTTTGTTTTTACATTCATGAGGTCCCAATCAGCCCAAATATCAAAGACAAATTAAAAATACATTCCATGGAAGAGTTCGGGTCTTAGGAGGTTAAGGATCAGATGGAAATACTGCAGGAAGCTTTGTGATACCTTCACTTTTCTCTGACAGGGGCTCCCAGTCAGTGTGTGTGACAAGTTTACACTGCTAATAATGGACAAACTGACAGCTCAACCACTGAAATGTGGTTAAATATTGATTTTCACCCTAGTCCCTCTGTTATATTTCAAAAGGATTAAAATAATTAGTGTTACTGTTGTAGAGACCCACCTTTTAGCACATCCCAGCACACCCACTCACTTCACCAGATGCACCTTGTTTAGTTCTCTCACCTTTGATTGGGTGTGGTGCTTGTCCTTGATTGCACTCACCTGTCACACATTATATGTCACACAGTACATAAGGACTGCATTCACTTTTGGCTCACTCTTTCCTCACTTCCACACGGGGCGGCAGCTGAGGTGAGGTTCTGTTTGGGTTTTTATTTTATGTAATGTTAAGGTAATGAGTAACTTGAATCTCTGTTTTCTTTCAGCATTGGCAGTCCATGTGTGTCTTTGTTTCCTTCCTTTTTTGCCTTATTTATTTGAGAATAAAAGGAGTACCCTGAAAATAATTCTGCATTAGATGGCTGCTTTTCTTATTCTAACCGGATGAGCCCATGAAGCTGATTGCTTCAGCCCTGAACCTTCCTCCCTTCAAAACATGGTCCTCCGAGCCGGAGAGGTATTAGCATCATGGATACACAGCAGCCATTTACTGAAGGTTTGAGAAGATCCAGTCGTGATAGTAGACCTCCTGCCTACCTGCAACAGTATGAAGTTCAGTACCCTGGAGCTAGAAGAGCTACATGTGAGACAGAGAGCCAAACTGAATGCCAGCACAGTGATAAAGACACACATGGGCTGCAGGATCCTGTCGGAGAGTCAGAAAGACCACCAGAGACATCCCCTGTTCCTTTACCCACCACCCAAGATGAGGTCATGAGGGAACTCCTAACGACCATGAGGGAGATTAAGCAATTTATGATTCAATCATCTCCTTCCCATTCTCGTAGCTCCAGATCTTCCATTCGCACAGTCTCATCTGAGGGAATCAAAGCTTCTGTATGCAGTATACGAGCCAGTCTTCAAACACATCAACAACCTGAGCAGCTCCCAGTAACTGATACAGCAACCTGTCAATCACCAATCCAGCCCCCGCAGATTAGCCGTCAGCCTGGCCTAGTTGCAGCTGCCAGCCCTCCCGTACCTAATGCAACAATACTAGATGCTGCAATCCCTTCCACTGGTTTGCCTAGACCAGTCCTTGCTACAGAAGATGAGACCCCCTTTGATTTCCTGGCCTTATCACGGCAGGATCCCCACCAGATCTCATGTGTTCAACCTGCTGTTCCTTTAGCGGAAGACCCTGTTCAACCTCTCATTCGCATATCTGACCACAAATATTGCCCTCCTCTAGAGCAGCAACCAGCTACATCCAATGCCTCATATGAACAGAAACCTTTGATACCTGGTACTGCTAGCTCGGGTCACTCCTCTAGCACGAGAACACATGTATATAAGCTTGAAGGTCCTTCGTTTCCAGACCTTAGTAGAGAAGACGAAATGCAATACAGGATGTTACGGATGGCCCTTACAAACCTTCTTGATCCTCATGAGACAGAGCACTTCAAATATCATGTCCTTCTTGATCACCTCAAAGTAGACCAAGCTAAACGATTAGCTCTTGCCTTTTCCTACGCTCCTGACCCATACACTCAAGCCATCAAAGCCCTTGATGAGCGTTATGGGCAACCAAGACAGCTGGCATTGAAAGAGCTAAAGAATATACTGGAACTGCCTCCTATCAGAGCAGGTGATGGTCAGAGCCTTGATAATTTTGCTCTTCGAGTACAGGCTTTAGTTGGGTTGCTTAGCACTATGGGAGAACAAGGACGTGCAGAACTAGACTGTGGCTCCCATGTCGATCGCTTGTTAGTGAAGTTGCCTGCAGAGCATTTCAGTCGCTTCAAACGGCATGTTTACAGGGAACAGGGAGAAATGACGTATACCTTGCCTTTGTTCTCATCCTGGTTGCAAATGGAATGCAGGTGTCAACCAAAGAAGGCCAGTCCTGTTTCATCCTTCAACCAGCCACGACCTGCCCGTAAGTACGCTTCTCCACTTACAACAATATTACATGAAGCAAATACATCTGATGATTCTGTACATGCAACACAGCCGATCATGACAACTAAGGCTACATGTGCATATTGCTGCTCACAGAACAAATCACAAAAAAAATTTTTTTAGGGGTTAAAAACCATTAGTAAGTTCCTGGGTTTATTCAGAAGACAAAGGATGAGAAAACAAACTGGATAAAAGTAAACAAACGGTGTTGGCGTTGTGCTAGGAATCATCAGGCCGCAAAGTGTGACCTGAAGAAAGCATGTGCCACCTGTATGGGACTACATCTCCAGATCCTATGCGATGTAAATAAGAGATCTAAAACTGACACTCATCCTGTAGTGAGGACGCTATACTTTGATAGACCTAGTGATTGTCCTAGTGTCCTTTTAAAGGTCGTGAAAGTGCTCCTGCGAAATGGCAAAAGAACCCTTGAAACATATGCAGTACTTGACGATGGCTCCCAGCGTACCATTCTTCTGACATCAGCTGCACAGCATCTCAACCTAACTGGGGAAGCAGAGAGATTATCACTTAGAACGGTCCGTCAAGAAGTTGAAACTATTCATGGTTCTTCCGTAAGTTTCAAAATCTCACCCATCGCACACCCAGAGAAAACCTACACAATTACTAATGCCTTCACTGCAAATCACCTAGCACTTTCAGGTTCAGCCAGCCCTGAACCTTCCTCCCTTCAAAACATCCACTCTTTCAGGAAACGTGTGTAGTCTGTTTCAGTTTCATCCTTTTGAAAAGCTCCTTTCTTTATCACCAGGATTCATTAAAACAGGTAGGAACCACATAGGGATTTCATTGTGTTTGTGATAACCACTAGAACCTAAAATATTGAAAGAAAAAACTATTTAAAAACTCTTTTGGGTGCAATCTACTTGGTTATATTTTCATTTGACTTTTGACAGCATTTTTAAGATTTACTTTTTGTCTTTCGGTTCACTGTTAATTCTTCTTTACTTATATGAAATGAAATGTCTTTTGCCATTTATTTGGGCAGTTATTTTAACTTTAATTTCAGTGGTTACTGGGACACAAAAGAGCATTTATATTGAACAATCAACAGTCAAAGTAAATAAAGTGAATGCTGTAATTTAAATAAAGCACTTTTCTGAATTTAATAAGACCTGAGATTAAAAAACAAATACCTGTAGTACAGCAAAGGGAAGCATTACTCCTCTTTATCAGATTTGACTGGAGTGTCCACACATGGGTATGAGAAATGTTGGTCACTAGTAAGTGTGCTGCGATATGAGTTTTTATCTCATAACCACAGGATGCATATCTCTGAAGACGTAAATAAGATTGAGGGGAGCTTTTTCTTAGGTTGCAGTAACACATTATTGTCGCCAGGGGGAGAAAAACTACGTTTGTAGTTTTTTTTTTTTTTAACTTTCCATTTACTTTCTAAAAAGTACTTTAACTTTGCTTAACCTCGTTTAAAGTTAGTTTTATTGGTATCAAACGCTTTATGGTGATTATCCAACAATATAACCATGTTTGGGTGTTAGTTACAGAGGCATGTCCGGGTTCCGGTGGGGACTCCCACCCTGCTTTCATTTCATCGTTTTTTTTCCGCCCTGTGCTGTTCGGTGTTTATGCTAGCTTAACCGTTTAGGCTAGCTCGTCTGAACTACTGTGCGTTTAGTTTTTGACTTTGAGTTTATCTGGCATGTTTCTCGGTACTTCCAGCCTGGAGTTTTCGTTGTTTATGACCGTTTAAGTGACGAAGATGTGGCCTTCAGAGACGCTAATCGTGTGGCTCGGCTGTTTGTGTGTCCTAGCTGCCGTGTCTCCTTCAGTACATGCGGGTAAGTCTGCTGTCCTCTTGAAGGATCCTTAAAGCAGCTCGTTTTGTAGCACATAGTGAAAATTGTGTTTTTGCGGAGTGGGTGGGTGTTTTTATGAAAGCTGAATCGTAGTTTAGTGATTTTCCCTGTTTGTGACCCCACCCAGTGCAAACCGGCGTTCACGTAGTGTTTTCCGCCAGTTTCTTACAGTCAACAAAAGCTAGCACACCAGGACTGAGTCCTTATGGACTCCAGAATAGAGGAGGTGAACTGGAAGCTACAGCTGTAACAGCATGTGTCAAACAACAGGTGATAAATAATCAGGATTAGTTAGCATACAATGAGACAGACAGCGGCGTGACACAGCAGCACGATGCATGTTTGAAATGCCAAAGCACTTTTATAGAAACGTGTTGTATGTGTGCAGTTTAGCTTTATTTACTTTAAAGAATTAGTCACTTTTTCCTAAAGAACAGTTTGATCTTCATTATTGAATGTGACCAGTCACTAATAGAAACTTTAAAGTTTTTAATCTGATCATTTATCTGGGCAGATACTACAGTCTATGGAAAAGTGGGAGGAGAAGCTGTCCTAAAACCACCTGCCAACCCTGAGTCTGGCCCCATCACACAAATCTCATGGAAAGAAGGTTCTAACAAAGCCATGGAGTGGGAGACAGGAGATACGAATGCAACAGGCTATCGTCAGTTTCGTGGTAAGCTGTGTTAGTGGTGCAGTGGTCCCATCTTTGATTATCAGTGATGAGTTAAAGGTAACAGTATCATATATGTTTGAAGATCGTGGCCACCTGAACACTTCCACTGGTGTGATGACGATCAGCAGTCTGTTACATAATGACAGCAACAGCTACACACCCGAGATCAACAACAGGCGACTCACTCCAGTTAGCCTCGTCGTCCTCTGTAAGTGGATAAATCAAACTGTGTTCAGCTTATCGAGTAAAACTGAAAGTGTTTAATATGTTACATCAAAACTAATGAAAGTGAATCACATGATGAATTTTCCTGTTTCCTTTTCTAACAACAGCTCCCGTCCCTGTACCCAGTGTTAACAAATCCTGTGATGAGAGCAAATGTGAGTTGATCTGTGAAGGAACCACAGCAAGAGCCACTCCAGTCAGCTACACGTGGATGTCAGATGATACTGGGACGCATGTTTCATCTGGGAAACAATATACTGTTCATAAGGTATTTTAAGTAGACTTTAGAAGGTGTGAAGACTTCTTCTCTGTGGTTTCAATTATATTAACAATTTCACTGCATTTCCAGGTGAACAGTTCAATCAGTTATGAGTTGAGCTGTGAGATACAAAACCCAATCAGCCGGGAGAGAAGTGAACCGATCACCATCTCTTCAGACTCATTCTCTGTGATATCTCGTGAGTTATTTCTGTAAAACACTCCTTACAAACTTATTAATGCTACAGGTCATCAACTTTGAAAAGCCACTTACTGCTGCTGTCATTATTTTACAGCACCTGGAGGAGGTCCAAACATTTACATGGGACTTACAGTGCTCATCGTGCTGCTGGTTGTCGTCACACTGCTGGTTGTCTTTCATAAATGGAAAACAGGTGACAAAATAAATAGTCTTTTATCAGCATATTCATATTCAGTATTGTGATCCCCCTGTCCCCCAAACTCATAGGCTCAGATGTAGGGGTGGGTATCGTTTACGTTTTATCCCATACCAGTACCAAACCGGTACTTTTGAAACGGTGCCGGTGCTTAAAGAATGGAGAACACAACTTTGTCCAAAAACCTCTCATGTTTAACTGTTTTCCACTTTTTCTTTGGTCATTTTAGCCTTTTTGGCCAGGGTGAAGGGAGTATCTGCCATCAAACAAGAAGACAGCCGCATGTAGCTATGATGATGTTTGCTAGTTCACCTTACATGCATTAATGTAATAACGTGGTTAGCCTACTCAACGTAAATTACACACGAACAACATTAAGCTACTCACGCAGAGAAGAACGGCTGCTGCTGCATCATCATCCGTCATCATTTCTGCTACACTGGCAGGGCTAGGGGCCAGGACTCTTTCTTCGGGTTTTTGGGAGGATGTTGCTACTCAGGGTCCGATTAAAACAGGCAACCACACACCGCAGTAGATGTGCAGGTGTGAGGTCTCGCAGCAAGCTATCAAATACGGCGCATTTCTGGCTTTTAAAAAAAACGCTATGCGTCGCCAGGTGTTTCATCAGGATTCGAGGTGTTACCTCCTTTGACAGTATCACAGTATCAGCTTAAAGCACTTGTTGCTGCTGAGTTTGCATCTTTTGCTGTGAAGTACAGCCAGACTTTGACCGCTTGCTTTGGGCATTTTTAATCTGTAGCTCTGCTCTAAAAGAACGTACGTACCTGGCCCGCCTACTACGCTCGAAAGGTAAAATGATTGGCTAGAATCAAAGTGTTACAGCTCAGGAAAAAAAAGCACCGAAATGTGCGCTGCTTTTGGTCTGGTTACTACCTTTATGCCATAATGGCACCAGATACCGGTACCCATCCCTACTCAGATGCCAGCAGAACATTTTAAAAAATGACCTTGACCATGAAATGAACCTCAATGTAATTCAAAACTACAACAGTCTCCTCAGCTTGCTAATGCTTACAGCTTGCTGTTAAAAGACAAGCTAATGCAACATGTTAGGAAAGATGCTCTGTAGTAATTTATTTAAACGCATCGCTGGCATCGAGCTTAAACAAAGCATATACACATGTTCACATATATGGCAAATATGGCGTATACATATGGCAAAGGTGGCTGCTGAATGAGAAAGAAAGCTGTCTAAAGTGACTTTGATGTGGTTATTGGTGCCAGATGAGTTTTTCACAAGCTGGTAATCTACTTGGATTTTCAAGTTTTCAGAGCTCTATGGGTCTAAATGTCTCATTGTTGTCAGTGCTCAGACTGCTTCCAGCTGAAGATAACAGCAAGTCAAATAACCTCTCACAACCAAATTATGCTTGAATGTTTCCAGCAACTTGTTGAATTTGTGCCATTAAAATTTTCAGACAGTTTTGAAGGCAACAGATGGCCTCACATTTGACTCTAGAATACTTTGGTATACAGAGGAGTTCATTGTCAACTCGATAACCACAAGGTACCCAGATCATGTGGCTACGAAACCAACTCAAACCATCACTCTTCCACTATCGCGATGATAGTTGAGGTTTGTGTGCTGATCTGCTTTGATTAATTTTCACCAAATGTGGTGCTGTGCTCAATGGCCGAACATGTCCACTTCAGTCCAACCATCCAAAGTATGTTTTTCTGATGTCTTGTGGTTTATTCAGATGCAATTTTACAAACCTAATCCCCGCTGCCATGTTCATTTAGAATGAAGACACTTTCATACAAACAACACACACACGTTCAGTGTTTCGCTACTGAGACCAGTAGAGTCTGAGATGTAGCTCTTGGGTTTTTTGGAATTTCACGTCTGACTGGAGTGAATTTGTTCAGGTGGAAGACACCTGAATGCTCCAGACCGACACACCGTCAAAACCTCTGATTTTAAAGAGGGGCTCACATTTGCTGGTGATTGATTAATTAGTGCATTTGGCAAAAGGGGATTCAACCCGATATTAGCGAGCAACAAATTAAGTCGCTAGTGAGTGTAGGGTTTGTCCCAGATCTTTCAGAATAAGGGTTTTTCGTTTAAGTCTGTTTGAGGTTGTATTTGAGTTTCATTTCTGGTGGATCGCTAATCTAATGTTGTCATTTTCTTTTGATTTCTTCCAGGAATGTGGTTTTTTGAAAAAGGTAAGAAGTCTAAAACAAAGTGCTTCCTAAACAAAGCTGAAATGTAAACATTTAGTTTTCATTTGCTTAATTTTATTTGTACGATTTTCTTAGTCAGTTACTCTCTATTTTAAAATGGTGAATTAGTTGTGAATACTATCTGATATTTTCGGTCAGTTTAAGAATACATCACATGTGATTCATCTTTAGACTGGAGCGTTAGTTTTACAAACACGTGCCTGTGGTGGATCTTAGTAACACGAACAACATGGAGAGACGTGCAAACAGTTTGTGTTGTACATAAATGATCTCAGAACGTGACGGAGCATTTCTCTTCAGTTTCAGCTCTAATGTTGAAACCATCACAGCTGAAGCTTTAACAGAACTGACTGGCTTCAAGAAATGCTGCAGCGTTTTAGTGAACGTGGATGTATTTTTAGTTC